GAATCACTTACTGTCTTAATGATTATGATATAAACAGCAAACTGGATAATTATTGCGACGTTTTCATCACTGCTCATACAGATATGATTGAACATTCAATCGATCAACCCTTAAATAAATTTAACATAACAGAATGTGGATGGAAGTTTATTAAAGATCACAAAACCGATGAATTAGCTTTTAATGTTTATAAACGAGCAAACCCGATTGCCAGCAATACTGAATTGAGGTTTGAAAGAAAATGGCGACGGTCTATGAATTATCTTATGGAGTATGTCAGAAGTTACTGCAAGTCCGATGTTTACATTGCACAGGCGTTCAACTATGAAGTCGGTGGAAGACATCCAAATTCTAGTTTAACTCACAATGAAGTTTGCATGCTAAAACATCTCATCGACATAAATATCATCGAAACGAAGTTGTATAAAATCGATGATGGACGTTATGCGGAGGAAAACTGCGAAACTTTATTAGTTGAATGGAGTGCAACGTTTCCGTATCAATTTAATTCGTTCGATGTCAATTTCCCTGATGAATTATTTTCATTACCATCGAAAAATGTTCTCGAATGTTTACATCAAAAAATCAACCAAGAAAAGTTGAATGAAAAGTTAGCTTCATACAAAATGTTGCACACTTTCAACCTATCACCAACCCAAACTGAAGAAATTCGAAATGATTACATTAATGTGTACAAAACGTTGATAAGCACTATGTTTGAGTGTTTGGAGAAATTATTTTAAGAAACATTAAAATAAATAAAAAGTCGAAATGCAAATAAAGATTCTCAAAAATATTTAATTTCTCATTTTATGATTATTTCTGAAAGTATATTAAATTTAATAGAATTTCCAACTCTGATAACGAGTGGAATTTGTTTCTATGAGCTTCAAGCATGAAACCAAAAAAAATTCAAAATAAAATACTTGAAACTGATTGCAGAAATGACACCTCAGAGTTTTCAGAAACTGTCATTGGTAAGGTTAAAAATATTTTGAATACAGTGGACTTTCTTTATAAGAATTTTGAAGGGAGTCATCTATAAAGAGCTTCTTCCTATAAAGAACTTTTTTGAACATTTCTTCATAATGTGTGTGTGTGGAATTTAAAGAACTTTTTACTTACAAAGAAAATTCTTATAAAGAAAGTCCACTGTAATTCATTTAAATTAATTTCTTCAAATGGCAAACTTGTTGCGAAATGCTCACTACGGGGTTTAAAGAAGACATTGAGAATTATATCAACAACTTATTAAAAAAAGAAATTATGAGATAATGTGGATGGAAGGTCATGAAGATTACAAAGTTGAGGAGATTAATTTAAAAGCTTTTATACAAAACATTGATAAGCAGTAATTAATTTTGAGTGTTTGAAGAAATTATTTTAAGAAACATTACTACATTGCGGTTTTGTTTTGGTGACTTCTCCTTTCCGAGATACTTAATTAGATTCTCACTTTTCAAATCTATGCTCATCTGTCCTCCCTCTCGCATTATTGAGTTTGAGAAACATATAAAATTCAGTGATGAATTCTGAAGGAATCATTCATTAAAGTCACTTTAAAAGAAAAAGTTTTAAAATGAAAAGTTTAATTGTGTTAATTTGTATCATCAGTTACATAAATTGTCAGTTTACTGAGAGCCAAATTGAAAGTTATCAAACATGCATACGTAATTATGTTAATAAAACAGAAAAACTTGACGAGTCTTGCGAAAGACTCATTGGAATAATATTACAAGGTACGGGGGAATTTGTGAAAGCCTATTTTGAAAAGGAAAATATCACAGAATGTGGATGGAAACTTGTAAAGGATCACAAAGTTGATGAGATAGCTGGAAATGCTTTTACATACACCACTTCACTTGTCAATATAACGAAGACCAATTTTGACAGTAACAAGGCAACTTTTTTCGAGGAAATGATGAAAACTTTTAAATATCTTGTGGAGGTGATCAGAAGTTATTGCAATCCTGAAGTTTATATTGGAAACAATTTCAAACAAGAAGTCGAAGTGAAATGAACGAAAACGTGAGAATTCAACAACTTTGAGTCACATGGAGATTTGTATCACGAAGTATTTCATCGACATTCATATAATCAATCCAAAGATGCAGAAAATTGATGAAAGTTTTTATGTTAACGTAAATTGTGATTTAGAGATTGAAGAATTGCGTGAAAAGCGTTTTCCGAATAAGTTAGAGAACGATTTGTATGATAAATTCCCTTCTAACATCTTCAGATTACCTTCAGGAAATGTTCTTGAATGCACAAAGCAAAAAGTAAAAGAAGGAAAACTCAACGAAATGTTTGCTTCTGAAAGATTATTTTGTTTCATCGACACATCCAGTGCTCAATTAGAAGAAGGACGAAGAAATTACTTCAATTTGTATAAAAAAATGATTGAAAATCTGTTTGAGTGTATGGAGAAATTATTTTAAGAAAATTTAAATTTGACATGAAATTCTAATAAAGATCAAGAATTGAAGTTTTGAGAAACAAAAACAAAAATTGCGATTTTTATTGTATTGTTGAATTATGCACATTCGAGTGCTTTCTTCGTTTGTTCCCAAATATTCAGAAGCGAAAGTTAAACCGGGAAAGTCTCAAAAAATCTGAACTCTGCGTTAGAGCAATTTAAAATTTTCAGTGAATTAATTCCACACATAGATGAATGGAAATTGTTTCTGTTTCTAGGAGAAATCTTCAAGAGATTCTAAAGAGAATGACAGGTGACATTAGCATGTTTATAAACATTTCACTTGAGAGAAAGAGCATAAAGACTCTTAAT